GAAGGGGGCGGCGCCCCCCTTTCCTTCCCTTCCCCCTCTCCCTTCCTTCTTCCCCCTTTCCTCCGGATGGAATCCTACTAGGACTTGGAGTCCTAGTAGGACTCCCTCCTCCTGGCGTGCCCTACAGGACGGCCTCCCCCTCCCCTCCTTTATATACGGGGCAGGGGGCACCCTAGAACACACAAGTTTCTCTTAACCGTGTGCGGTGCCCCCCTCCACAGTTACACACCTCGGTCATATCGTTGTAGTGCTTAGGAGAAGCCCTGCGCCGGTAACTTCATCATCGTCGTCGCCACACCGTCGTGCTGACGGAACTCTCCCTCGTCCTCAACTGGATCAAGAGATCGAGGGACTTCATCGAGCTGAACGTGTGCTGAACGCGGGGGTGTCGTACGTTCATTGCTTGGATCGGTTGGATCATGAAGACGTTCTACTACATCAACCGCGTTACTAAACGCTTCCGCTTTCGATGTACGAGGGTACGTGGACACACTCTACCCGCTCATTGCTATGCTTCTCCTAGATAGATCTCGCGTGGTCGTAGGAATTTTTTTGAAATACTACATTCCCCAACAATGGGAGACGGACCAGCCCACTTGGGACTCGAGGCCATGCCGCCTCCAATATGCACTACTCCTCCTTGTCGGAGTCTGTCACCTGTCCAACGCCGGTTGACGTGAGGCTGATGATGGACGTGGATGGGCCTACACTTTCCTCATGCCACTGGTAGGACACGCAGCTGGCAGAGTTCTCATTCATGATTGCATGTGCCGCCCACGCCGCCTCAACATCACGAGGGATGGCGTGAGCATGGGTGGCCTCGTAGAGCGCCCGCGTTTTGGCCACGACGTTGGGGTTCGCCGCTACCATGGCCGCTATACCTTCCTCACTCGCGCGCTCGCCATGGATTTTTCCGTCTGCTAGCCGATGTTGCTTGAGGAGGAAGAGTTTGTACTGATGCTCCTCGACATAGGCGTCGTCTACTCCTTCGCCGTAGTCTCATTGAAGTGCGCCTGCGGCTGCTCCAAAGTCAAGTCGGCGCGGGCGCCGACGCCTCGTCGTAGTCGGAGGCCATCTCCATCGTCAGGTCATCATCGGAGACCCCCGAGAGCTGGCCGACATGCTGACCTCTAGCTGCCTAGCACATCGGCTCTATCAGGCGGCTGCAAGGGCATCCACCTCGTGCTTCTGCTCCATTGAGAGGCTCTCCCACAACCCGTTCCCGCTCGCAGTCAGGGCGGATGTGGTGCACAAGAGGAGAGTGTGGAGCGGACATGGTGTGATGTGGTTTGAGCCATGAGTTAGCCGCCTTTAAATAGTGGATGCCAGTGAGGCCAAGCGTCCAATTGTGTCAATGCGCGGGCGGCAGAGATGGTTTCTTGGCCGACATGTGTGTTTAATGGCGGCAAATGGACAGACAGGCATTGAACATGCATGTTAGATATATGTCCCACCCCATCTAGTATACGTCTCACCGACAATGAATAGATGCATACATTGGGGATGCAGCACGGGTAGTGCCCTCAGCCAGCGAGCTGCTTTAATGTTGGTGCCAGTGAGAGGTCACATCCGCTCTGGGCCGACATCAATATGGAGCAGTCGCTTTAGAGCGGCATGAATGCGGGCAACTGGCCTCGGGCGGGAAAGGGCGGGCGAGGAAGATGGTTTTGGGTATGCCAGGGTTGTCGAAAGCTGGTGTGGCAGCGGTCTAGACACCCCACGAATCCCCTCCCCCTCCCCTCTGGTGTTTGCTTCTGGTTTACGAGAAAAAGGACGTCCAGACCGGCCAGCAAACGGAGGCGGGACCGCGTCGGATGGCAAAAAGATCACACGGTCTAAATGTGTGCGGACGGTTTGAGGGTCCGCGTTGAAGATGACCTTAGACAAGTTACATTCTACTAACCCCACAGTCAAGATGTAAGAGGGCATCTGGTTTTGTGGCTATCCACCACAGGACAAGGATAAACACTTTTCCCAAGGATGCCACTTGTTTGGTTGAGGGAAAAAGAAAGAAGGGGTAACCAAATATGTGGAAATATTCTGCTAAAAGTTGCTCGCTACAGTCAGGACGTAAGTGACTTACATCCCGACCCCACGGTGGGCGAGCTATGACCAAAGACCAGTTCTTTTAATGCGATTCTGAAGAATCACGGTTCAAAGAATCAAAATCATAAAAGAAGTCATCTATGTCCCAGGAACCGCCTAAATCAACCCAGAATCGCGGTGCAATCTAGAATCGCGGAAACTTGGCGATTCTCATAATTCTAGCCAGTCCCTCAAAACAAAAAGCTTTGTTCCAAACTAGTACCCCTATTGGACAATTTGTTTACGGCCAGAATGCCACTCAGGCCTTGCCGACCGAGAGAGGCCCAAAACGACTGGTTCATCCCTGCAGCAGTCTGTGATGCTGGCGACGTGTCGTATCCTGACGACCGAGGTTTTTATTTTAGAAGAAGTTCAAAAAAGATTTTGCCCCTCGGGCCTCAGACAATCATGTTTTTGTGTCTTGCTCCCTGAAGATCCTTGGCTAGTTCTGCCATTGCCACCACCCAAAAGAAAATAAAACAGTGAGAGATCTCTTGAGCCCCGTGCGCTGGGCCTGCCATGCATCGTCACATGTCGACCCAAGAAAAAGAGCACAAAAAGTAGAGGAGAAGTGGAGAAAGCTTTGTTGTTACGTATCCTACGTAATCCTTCTTTTCCCTAACCAAACGCCCTCCCCCTGATTTTCAGGGTGGGCCCCAGCCTCCACTAATATCCAATTGAAGGCTGCCAACTCATTTTATTCGTAAGATACGTAAAAATATTTTCGTAGGTGTAGCATTGCTCCAAAGCAAAAATGCTAGACTTACGTAATGCTGTTACGTATCCTACGTAATCCTTCTTTTCCCTAACCAAATGCCCTCCCCCCTGATTTTCAGGGTGGGCCCCAGCCTCCACTAATATCCAATTAAAGGCTGCCAACTCATTTCATTCGTAAGATACGTAAAAATATTTTCGTAGGTGTAGCATTGCTCCAAAGCAAAAATGCTAGACTTACGTAATGCTGTTACGTATCCTACGTAATCCTTCTTTTCCCTAACCAAACGCCCTCCCCCTGATTTTCAGGGTGGGCCCCAGCCTCCACTAATATCCAATTGAAGGCTGCCAACTCATTTCATTCGTAAGATACGTAAAAATATTTTCGTAGGTGTAGCATTGCTCCAAAGCAAAAAATGCTAGACTTACGTAATGCTGTTACGTATCCTACGTAATCCTTCTTTTCCCTAACCAAACGCCCTCCCCCCTGATTTTCAGGGTGGGCCCCAGCCTCCACTAATATCCAATTGAAGGCTGCCAACTCATTTCATTCGTAAGATACGTAAAAATATTTTCGTAGGTGTAGCATTGCTCCAAAGCAAAAATGCTAGACTTACGTAATGCTGTTACGTATCCTACGTAATCCTTCTTTTCCC